ACCACTTTATTTCACATGTACCCGCTTGGCCCATTGTGTTTATTTTTATCATTTTTTGACTTTTTCTTTTTGTTTCTGACTTCTTATTTTTTGTTAAGATATAAAAAACATTAAAAAATATTTTTCACCTTTTTTTGTATTTTTTAGGCATTTATTTGTTTCATTTAGTTCTATATGTAAATAAATATACATAATATTTTTGTTTAAAATAACTAAAAATAATACAAATACATTTATTTTTTGATTTCATTTTGTTTTATCTTTTGAAAACATTTTATAAAAAAAATATACTTTTTTTTAAAATAATAAATATTTTTAATTTTTGTACATATTTAATATATTTAGTAAATAATATAAATACTTATATTTATTAGAATATTTAGGATAAAAACATAAAAATAATACATTTTTATTTTTATTAATATTTAACCTCAAAAATACTTTTTTTACAATATACTTTCTTTTTATTTATTTTTTGTATATAATTAATAAACATTGTATATATTAAATAATAAATACATTTTATTTAGCAAATTAGGGTTTTTGCCCTAAAATGTAAAAATATTCAAAATTATTCATTTTTATTTTTGTTTATTTTTCACATGAAAAACATTTTTACATACATATAAAAATCATTTTTTTTTGCATCTTGCATATTTATTTTATTTTATTTAATTATTGTACAATTAAATACCTTGTAAATTCCATTTGGATTGTAATAGCTTAGATTTAAATTTCTTGCTAAATTATCCCCATTTGAACATTTGTACCCTCCATCCCATAATTGTGTTGTAATAATTTAGGACTTTAAATTTCGCACTTTAAAGCTTTCTAATTATACCATGATAGACTTAGGGTTTTGTATGCAAAAATCAACCAAAAATAGTTTGACCTAATTCAAAGATAACAAAGCATGAAAATGGACAACACTAATCACATTTGCACCCCTAGGATACTCCACTTGTTGCCTTCAATAATGGGCCATATTGCATGTTGAGTGTTTTTGGCAAAACAAAACAATATCAAATGATCATAGTCCCTCGATGACGCTTTCGAAAGTTGCCTAAAAATGATCAAGTCCCTTAAAGGAAAATTTTCCCAAAGACACTTGGCACCATTGCAATCATGGTCTAAACGATGACCCGCGCCCATCCCGTTAAACATCCTAACACAAGATTGTCCACCAAATACAATGGTGGAACAAAATTGTTAAAAGGGTTAAAAACATAGGAAAAATCTTTGAGAAATTTAGGGTAGATAGCTCTTGGTTACTTGCCAACTTGCAAAACAAAAACACTTGCCTATTTTTTTCAAAAGCACACATCACAACACACTTTCAAAACAACTTTCCAAAACATTGAAAACCTTTCAAAAGATATACACCTTTGTATACATCCAAACATGGATCATTATATAAGGTTGCCACCACAAATGGCCTCTTTTCAAAACATTTTTCAAACCCACACACAAAGCACCATTTCAAACAATTGAAAGCACCATTTCAAACAATTGAAAATCAAGGCAAGTTGATCTAAGCAAGTAACTAAGAGCCCATGGATAACCATGGATAGAAAGGGTGCTAATATCTTCCCTTTCTATAATCTACTCCCCGAATCCAAGAAAACATTTCAAAGGTTTTTGCTGTGCTTTTTAACCTTTCCTTAGGATAAAATAAAAAGTCGGTGGCGACTCTTGCTCAACCGAAACATTTGCGAAAACAAACGCAAAACCTCAAGTCAGTTCTCCCACCGTATCACAATATCAATTAAAAATAAATAAATAATAGAAAAGCCCCACATAGCGCCATATTCTAGGAATTAATTTAAAATAACTATCACATCAATTTTTAGACAAAATTGAGATAATAGATTAATCAATAATTAAAAAAATAAACAATAGATATTTAAAATATTGATGCAAAATATATCACTCCTCAATTGTCCAATATAATTGAGGGTAATACAAATAAAAAAATAAAAATAAATAAATAAGAGAAAAGAGAAAGGCGTCATGTGATCCTAAACCACTTTAAAATAAAAATAAAACCTAAAAAACAATAATTAGGACTCAAAACAAGCTCCTTTGTAGTTACACTAATAATAACGGCGCTGCCAGGACACATACATCGATTACTGGTAATAAAAAATTATCAGGAAATATATTATTTGTATTAGTGACTATTATAATTATTATTTTTTTCACGTTAAGGTTATTATAATAACATTTATTTTAAAATAATTATTTAATAATATAAATTTTATGTTCATAATTTTTATTTTTATTATAATTATTATATTCTAAATATTTTCATTTTTATTGAATAATTAAGAACTATTTCATATATGAATTGTACATTCTAATGATAATCTTTAGTAGAATATTTATAAAAAATATATGAAAATAATAATATAATATATTTAAAAAATTCATAATTATTATTTTTTAAATTAAAAACTTGGATACGTGTGAAAAAGAAGATTTTTTTTTTAATAAAATTTATTGGTAGTTAGTTTTATAAAAGTTTTATGGTAGATTATTTTCTAAATTTATTCAAAAAATTATAATCATGAATTAAAAAAATTAAAAATTAAATATGTAGTGATTATAAAACAAAATAAAATCATAAATATTTTGGATAAATATTAAGACATAACATAAAAACTTAATTATAGTTTTAGTCTTCTTTTTTTGTTTTTTTTTATTAATAGAGTCAATCTCTTATTTTGAAATCAAAAGTTTTAATCATTTTTTTTTTTTTTTTTCATTTAAAATTAGTGATTTGTAAATTTTTAAATAATAGATCATTTGTAAAATTTAATAAATCATCATATAGAAATTTTTTGTACAACTTTATAGGTAAAAAATATAATTTAAAAAACAAACACTTCATCTATTTGTAGTGAAAAATTTGAGAAGAACCAAATTATTTACATTTAAAATAGATAGAATAATTTTGTAAATCAGATAAAATAAGAAGGTCAAAAGGGTAAATTATCATAAAATATAATAGCAAAAAATGTACACATTTATAAAATGAATCATATTAATTATTGATAAATTTTCTACCATAATAAAACAAGAATATAATATTATGAAAGCTATAGTTATAAAAAAGAAAATTAATTGTACAAGAAATTTTTTAGAAGTTTGGTCCTATGTTGCTTCCCAACTGTTGTCTACAAAATATTCCAATAGAGAATAATGAGATTAAAGAACGATGAGATCTTACTATAAACGATGGCCTTTGGTCCATTCTTGAACAGAATCATACATGTTTAAATGATTCCAACACCAACCTGTAACTCACTTCACCGCAACTTTCTCCTTCACTTTCTTCACAACCAACCAACAATGGCTTCTTCTTATTAAACAGAATCTTTGACCCTTTAACTTCATTGGTATCCATTAAAGTGTAGACTTCTTCAACAACAAAAGAGTGGATGCAAAATATGGCGTCTTCTTTATATATATATATTCAAGAAAAAGGCACGGTGGACTGTAATCATAGACTTTTCCTAGTTTAAGGGATAAAGTTGATTCTTATTCTCATTATTGTTAGGAGCAACTGTGGGTGAGTGGTCTGCATCACACTATTAATGAACGTGCTATGTTAGAACTATACACAATGATGCTTATGCATACACTACTAATTGCACTTACGAATCCTAACAAAATTCAACAATCTAACCAATTTAGTTACTTAGTTACATGTGTAACAACTAACAAGTAACTTAACTCGCATCTTTTAGACTTGAATTACAACACTTCAACGTTCACTCTTATTCAAAATCTCTATTATTACACTGAACTTATTTCTCATATCTTTGAATTTTCAATCATGTTTGGTTAGAACATTTGCTAGCCGGTTCTTTATTATGTAGTATGTTAAAGTTATATTGTCCTTACTTATTTGAACTTGTCATACTTTAAATTTGTCCATTCTTTATTTTTATAGTCAAAAATATTCTTAAATATTTATTTTATAAATATTTTTTGATTTTTATAAATATCCGCTTTCGAACCTATTTAAAAATATAATAATTTATTTTAAGATTATTTGTATTTTTAAATAAACAAATATTTGCTCACATTTATATACTTTCAATTGGCTTTTTATTTTGTAAGTATGAGGTTGTGAGTTCGAATCTTGTGTGCGACACTTTTAAACTTTTTTTTTCTTATTTTTACTAATTTTCTTTCCTTTTTTTTCGAGATCAAACTTTAGACTTTCTTTTGGGCTTTTGGATAACTTAGTCTCTAAATTTTTTTTTACCTAATTCACTCTATAAATAGGACCTTAGTTTGTCCTAATTTTTCACACACAATCAACAATTTCACAGTTTCACTTTTAGAAAATATTTTTGAAATTTCACCTTAAAGTTTCTACTTGATTTTTTTCATTGGCCAATGATTTCATATGAGGTCACCCCTCCATTGTTATTTCTTTAATTTTTGTCTCTCTCTTTTTAATTTTAATTTGTTTTTTTCTCTCTCTCAATTATATGATGAATTATATGGTTGTTATTGTTAAACCATTTTTTCTTTTCAAAACTTTTATGTACTTTTCTTTTACTGCAACCTGTAAGATTCATCATACACACTAGCTATAGTTTTGTTTTAATCGTTTTTTAAATAAAAAACCTGTATATTTTAGTGACCTGCAAAGTTTCGTTAAACCGTTCGCCGTTAAATAATTCAAATACAATTCTATCTCTACATGAAAATAATTGTTACCAATCACACTAATCAAAACCATTATCACCCTTTTCACATTTTTTTCATTCACTATGCATTCATCTGATTAACCAATAAAAGCATTCAAAGCTTTTATGCAGAATTCATCAACCAAATCCATAAACATGTTGTTGTTTCTTTTGCAGTAGCAATAATTTTTGCACAATCATCTCACCTTTGTGTTTCATCAATTTTCTTTTACTATTGTTTTTTTTTTTGTTTTAAAGGCAAAGGAAAAGGAATTCAAATCTTCGTTTTGCTAACGAATGAAAACAATATCGTCCAGAAGGAAAAGAGTCAGAGTTGAGATTAGAACACTCGCTGGAATCAGAATCCACCATGCCATTATTCCGATTCTGTTCAAATACAAAACCAATGATTCCTCTGATCCGCTATCCACAACGATGAAAATGAATCGAAGAGTGCCTCAGACAGATCCGCAAGTTCCGACGCGACACCACATCCTCCGCAACTCCACCACCGAAATCAAATACTGACCCAACATCGCGAATCTGTAAACCGTACACCAGACCCCCGATACAGCCCTCTTCGCCTCGACAAACTTCTGCGACACAATTTGGATCTATTACGGTAACATCATCCTTCTATGGCTTTTTATTTTGATTCATGAAATTTCATATTTTTGAATTTCTTTAGATAAAAGCGTAAGGAAGAAAGATTTGAGTAAAGAATGAACAAGAGAAAGTGAGTTGAAGATGATTTTGTCTATTGTTTAAAAGAACTGAGAAAGTTTGGGGAAGAGAAACTTTTTCTCGTAAGAAGAGGTAAGGTTTTTTCTTATTATTATGTTTTATAAAATAAAAAATGAAAAGGGAATGGAATCTTTACGGATCAATCTGCCACATATGAAAAACATTGAATTGTGAGAATATTATTTGTTTGTTTTACATAAATTTTGGTCTATTTTAATTAAGGTTAGAAACGATAATTTAAAAAATCTACATAATTAGGATACTCTCTTTTTATAATATTTAGGATTAGAAAAATTGATTTTATTACTTCATTTCCATATTATTTTTATTTTATTTCTCTTATTTAATTTCTCGTGAATAATATAAGTAAAATCTTTCGTATTTTATTAAAAATCAATTATTTTTAATTAGGATAAATTGACACTTATATATAACTTAGAAGTCTCTCTCTTCTATTTAGTGTCAGTATCCCGTTTGCTAATTAGACTCTATTTTAGAATTTGTTTTTAATTAGTTTAATTTGGCCATTTACATTTAATTACATAGATTAATTTAATTTTTTTAATAATTATTTTAATTTATTAGATTATTTAATTTTTATTTAGAAAAAAGTCAAAATAATAAAAATATAAAAATAAAAAATTAATTATTACGTACATAAACACCTTTTCAAATTAAATTAATTCAATATGTTACAAAGATATTAAAAATCATACAACTCACCAATGAGCGGCACGTGGCCAATATTTGGCAATGTGATGAGAAGACTATATCAGACTCTCTGTTCTATGCCATATCATACTCGTTAATCAATTCAAAACTCAAAACACCTAACCAACAATTTAAACATTTTTTCAACTAACATAATCAAAACCTCAAGATTATTTTCGAAAAATGATTAAGGAGAATTAATTTCAAATTAACTACGAACTGCTTCTACACTCACACAATTTTCAACCCAGACAAGGTTCAAGGATAAATTTGAAAGCAATTCTACGCAATCCATAAAAAACTCAGACCAACTGCGAACTACAAATTGGGACTCTGATTTCTCCTAAGAGGATAGTAGGCATACGACTAAAATTGTGGCGAGTTTCCCTAATAAAATATTAAAATCCTATTTTCTAAGATCATGCTTCTAACCCTAATATCCTTGTGAACAAGGTAGATGAGGGGTGCCTAACACCTTCCCTTCGTCTAGAACCGAGTCAAAAAAACCTTGAATCTATAACTTTTAGGGTTATCCTTTATATTCCCTTCCTTAGGATAAAAATTAAGAGTGGTGACCCTCAAATTTAAAACCAGTTACAATGACTGGCGACTTCACTAGGGACTCAACCCTAGGTTTAGAAGCCTCCTCTTTTGGGTTTTAGGGTTTTTTTAGGGGTTTTCTTGTTTATTGGATTTAATTCTTGATCATTTAATTATTTATTTATTTTCTGCTTATTTTTTACTGTTCACTATATTATTATATCTGTGGTGGGATTTAAAATTTTGCAAAAAATATTTTCAGAAACTCTTAGAAAGAAGGTTCGTCTATTAGCCAAGGGGTTACATTAACCCTATGAGTTTATGCGATGAATTTTCCTAGAGTCGGTGGAATTTCGCAAAAGGAATACCTCTCGAGAGACATCCTCTTAGGAAGTAGGACTTTGAACCGAAACCAATGGCTCTTTGTACGGCCTTTAAACTAAAAAACTCATGATGAGACCTTTTATGACCTAGAGACGAAAGTTTTGATCTGTAAAGAGACTCCACTTAAGGAAGACTCTTATGCCTTTCCTTCTAGTGTTATTCATGATACCCTTAAGAAAACCACCTTATGGGGAGGGCAGAATATCTGTAGGCCAAAACTAGGAGCCTTCCTTCTAAGTATACCTTTCACAAATCCCACTATAATTTGTAAACCCACAAGGATTATCTTTTCTTCCATTACTATCATTAAAGAGATTCCATCTTTTTATGATATAACCCCTAGCTAGTAGGGATTTTCTTGAGAAAATCTTAATCCCTAGCTGGTAGGGACCCCTTTTTCGTCCGACATTATCCTTAGAGCTCTTATAGGATCTTGTTGAGCTTCCCACGAAGGACGTCTTTGCTAATGCACACTGTATGGCCTATATCAGACCATGAACTGGTGATTGTTGAACGGACACCGTATGTTCTCTTCCACGTTATTCCCTCAAGTCCAACATTCATCTTAACCGTCCATTGGTATATCATAATTCCTAGCCTGTAGGAATTATCGTCCCTCTATTATAATCCCTAGCTTGTAAAGATTCCTCTTCATTGCCCATAATCCTCAAGGAGTTCCTGTATGTCCCAATCTCTGATTCAGTATAGGTTCGTAATCCTTAAAGAGTCCTAGTTTGTCTTTATCTCTGAGTCAGTATAGGGTATCCTCATTTCCATGCCTATCATTAAACCCGTATAAGGTACCCTTATGTTTACTTCATAGTACGTCTGTATTGCATATCCATAAAACTTTTTTGCATACCCAAAAGCCAAAAAAATAATTTTGCATACCCATGCATTTTTGTACATTCATACATTTTCATGTCATGCATTTCCACCTTCGTCATTATCCAACTATCATCCATATGCTAGTTGATTTCTTGGTACTTGCAAACGAACATAAGAAAGCCTGAAACTGTAGAAGAAAGAGATTATATATTGGATACTCAATGGAGCTTAATCCTACAAATCTTATTGGAGAGAGAAGGCAGCCCTTCACCATGACAACTACTGGCCCACACAACGCCTCAAATGCCACTACCATTAGTGATTCCTCTACATCAAGAGAATTTTCCCTATCAACAAAATAGGTATGCCCAAGAAAAGTAAAGGATCACCCCCATGCTTTGACAAGTCCAAGAACACCCAAAAGCTCTTGTAAAGTCAAGAGGATTGAACTAAAAAGCTATTCGATATGATCATTAGACATTATCAATTTCAAATTGTGGTTTCCAAGTTGTTAAGTTGTATTTGGTGTGAACTTGTATTTTTGAATTAGTAATATTGATAAAATGAGAATGAACATTTTTAAAATCAATTCATTTGTTCCACTCTTCATCTTTAATCATTTTCCATAAATAACTGACTTTCCATTTCCACTCTTCTTTTCCATTTTCAAATTAACTTTAACAAACTTTGAGGGAGAATGACAATAACTAAATAATGGAATTTTGCTAAAATATGCTTTCAATGGTAAGACCGAGTTGATGATGTAAGGTATTGTTTCAATTCCTAAATAGTGGAGAAATAAGGAGTTAATTCGTAGTCAACCCCCTCAAGCCAGAAGTTGGAGTTTTGTTATATTTTAAAAAAAAAACCTTAAACTTAACCAGGGGCAAGGTAGTCTTTCAATTAATTCAATGGCGCATTCTATTCTCAAGAGAAGTGATTTATATAAACAAAAAGTTCAAGCATATCTATTTCCTTAATACATCATTGAGGAAATGATCTAAGCAAAGGTTCAAGTGCATCCTTTTCCTCGCGTTCATCATCCAAGATTGAGGAATCAACAAAGACAAAGTCCATAACATCCTTTTCCTCGGTACATCAATCAAGATCGAGGAAACGATGAAAGCAAAGCTTACAACAATCGGCATGACAGTCATAAATTTTCAAAATTAAAAGCAAAGAAATTCAAAAAAAGGAGAAAGCTTGCTAAGTCAAAGGAAATAATAAAAAAAACTTGACTTAGGCAATAGTTAGGGCATCCAGATGGACCGAAAAGTTCAAAATAATTGGTCCATGCAAAATAAGGGATTGAAAATAAATTGGAGAACAATCTTGTGACTGTCACCTCAAGAATCATCAAGGCTTCTCATCAACGCTTGGATCTTATCAATACTTGGATCTTATCCATACTTTTCATCAACGCTTGCATCTTATCAATTCTTGGATCTTATCAATGATTTTCTCCGGCGCTTGGATCTTTATCTATGCTTCTCATCATTTGCGGGACTACGAAATTTCTCTTGGTAATTAAACGCATGTGTTGCATTAATTGAAATTAGGACCGGAGGACATCAAGGAGAATGGGGTGGGATAAATAAATTTTGAGCCTTATGTATTTTGTTTCTTAAACCACGAACCATGGCCACGTTACAACCTTTAAAAATCCTAATTGAAGCTAGGGTCCAAATTCCCCTTCAAGTGACTTCAAGTACAAACTTTTCATGCTGCGAATACTTGGGGAAATCTATGGAAAGTTTATGGGAGGTCTAAGTTTTTTCTGCGGGTACTTCTTCCAGATCCTGGAGATTGAGGGGCACATCTGTCAAAATTCAAATGTTGGGGCAAACCACTACGGGGCTCGATCAAAATAAGTTGATTCAAAATGGTTCATCAAAGCCAAACATTTTCGAGAGTCTTTTAATCAAGGGCATAGTGCAAAATAGTGGGGTCATTCATATTATGATAAAATTATTTCCAAGCTCATATAAATGAGAATCTCCTCCAAGACCCTACCAAAAAATTAGGGAAAGACAGTCCACATAGGGGCAAGCTCTCCACTTTCATAATCTCCAGTGGATCTTTCTCCTACATCAGCAATCTTCAAGTTCAAATCGAGTATCGAGAAATCATGATAGCATAACATTCATCCATCATGTGACGAGCAACTTTGTTGTATAGACAAACCTCTACGCTTTAATCATCCACGGCCTATTATAAGGGCATCAATCAAAAGTACACGAGTCTGTATAAATAATTTTCATGCACTCATTAGGTTACTTCGATCCAGAATCAAGCTATGCTTATCATCTTATCCGGCTGAT